GGTTTTGGTATAGGGTTTGGATTGGGTGGTGGTTTTAGAAATGGTGTCAAAGCGTAGGGCGGGGTATGGGGGTGTGTGGTGATATGAACTGGGAAATGACGCTCCCTTGCTGTTTGAGCCTCGGTTCCGAATCCTTGGCTCTGCTGATCCCTTAAACCTGTATGTCCAAAGAAGCTACGGAATCTAAATTTCAATCAACCAGATGCTCATTTTAAAGAAGTTGACACTCTTGTGTAACTTCGAATATCTTCGAAGTGCCCTAAAATGCCCTAAACCTTCATCCTCCAACCCTGAAGCCCTGACTGGGGCATGCACCCGGACTGCGCGCCGGTGGAAAGGATCCCCGCACTCCGAGTCACAGAGCACCACGGACACCTGGGTGGCGTGGCTGGGTGGTCAGCTTTAGCAGCATCCTCGTTGCAGACTGGGTTGTGGTCAAACTGGGGGTTTTGGACTAGCGTGGCATCATGCCAATCAGATGCATTCCGCCCACCCCAGGGCCAGGTCCTATTGTAAGTGCCTTGGCCCGCACATAGCTGTACCATGATCTGCCGCTCTTTGGCTTGCTCCAGCCGGTATACCGACTCTCAAGCAAGGGCTGTGTCGTCGCTCGTTTGGAGGATCTGGGGACTAGTATGCAATAAACGGCTTCCTAAGCCCACCGATGCTGTAGTTGCAGTATTGCTGCTACTGCTAAACTTGCGAAAATGCACCAGGAACTGCATCACAGACAGATGAAGCCATGCCAAGACCAGATTGCCGCGATGAGCGCAAGCCTTTCCATGACTGATGAGCCGATCTGATGTTTGGGGTTCTGCTGGAACCCTGCGTTGAAGAAGAATGCAATCTGCCAGGTGGCACCAAAGGCAGCAGCGACTCCTCAACACACGGATGATCTGGGCAGATGGTAGCATTAGTGTGGCATTTGCCCGCAGAACACCGCAATCTGAATGCAGTCAGGGTGCGAAACAAAGCCCCGACGGATTCCTAGTAGCACGAGATTGGATAACAGCTCGGTGCCCAACAGTCCAACATGGGCCCCCCTTGTACTACAGACAGCATAGACCACAGACAGGGCCACGCATGCTTGGAGGCTGCTTGAAGATCCATGGTCTGCTCTGAGTTTGGATTCCTGCTTATGCTCCAATGTACACTCGCAGCAGGCTGATCGCACCTGCGTCGAAACTCCATGCACTGAACAGGCGCGAACAGCTCCCATGCCATGCGCTCGGAGAAGGCCTCGTCAAGACCTCTCTCCAATGCAAGTGCGCGAAAGGGAGCGCCCGCCACGAACTGTGGGATTTCCTCACGACATGAGATGCACCCATAACCCAGCTTTCGAAGCAGCTTAGTTCAAAAAAGACTATCGGATCATTGAACCCATGCCACAATGACATAAACGGCCGAATGGGCAACAGTAGCGCAACAGCATGTACATTTTGGCAGTGGTCCTGTAAGCCGCAGGGCGCTCTTCGTCTTGCGATCGCCAAGGCAGCGCTCGCATGCTTCGCCGGGATGCCCGTCACCTACCCAGACACTCCAAAAGCCTTTACTAAGGAATCTACAAAAAATGGAGCTAAGGATCCCCCGATACCTCAAGGCATATATTCCGGGCTCGCAAGTCGTTTGTGTGCCGAGGCCTGCTCCATCAGGCTAGCTTCGCCTCGGCCCGATCTCACTTGCGTCTAGCAGCTGCTAGCTGCTATAAGTCCAGACTTGGGTTATCAAGTTGGCGCCCGGATGATGAAGTGGCTAACACAATCGCAAAGCGCAGTGGATGGTTTAGGGGGACCCAGCAAGAAGTCAGAAAAAGATGCTGACAAGCTGCAAAGGAGAAGCATGACCTGAAGGCGACTCCAGTGGGTTAGGAGTTATAACATTATACCATCTTATCTTGGCTGACTTCTGAACCCCTCCTAAAAGTTAAACTTTTAGCCTACTTATTATAGTTCATATAGAAGCCCAAAAAGTTAAAGTCTAAAGAGCCAACCAGAAGAACGCCAAGTTATCATATCTTGAATAACTTATACTGGATTATATTATGTTTAGGTTGATGCGAACGCAATGGCAGCCGCTGATCTCTCTGAACTCTTCACAGCTTTGGCCTGTGCAGCCGCATCCGCGCTTGTTTCACCTTGTGGCACGATAGGGAAGTGTGACATGCTTTTCGGGCGATAATATGGAAGCTTCAAAATATCGTGGGTATTCGATTTGTATTCAATATTCGTCCAAATTGTATGATGTTTCCCAAAACCCTATTCAAATTATGGCCTGGTATCCTCCCCCACCAGAGGTGGTGATGCTCGGCTAGGCTTCCCGCTGCGTACCTTCGTTTAGCGAATACTGCCAATACCATTACCAAGATTTGATCACATGTTATGTTTAAGTATAAATCAATCGTGTAAACAGTTTGCATGGGACGTGCGCAGGTTCTTGTAACAGGTTTGCTCACCTCATTCTGCCTTTGGTTTCCCTTGAGATACGGAGTCTTATCGTGATGGACGTGAAGCTTGGAACAACGGTTCGGATACATGTAACCATACACAAACTGACATTCAAAGGTTGGTTAAAGCAAGGAATGCAACGCACCACCGAGACTCCTGAAACCCGTCGAAGGGATAAAACGATTTGTTTTCAAGCCGTCCAAGCCTGGCGCTTTCAGGGCCAGCGGACTTGGACTATGGCTTTCATGTGGTAGTCGAAGCTCAACTGTAAATTGCCGTACGGTCAGCACATCGAGTGGACTTCTTTGCTTCATGTACACCGTCTTGACTTTGCTTGAATTGCATCTCGACAAATTTCCTAGCGCCTGGTCTTCTAGGTTGTGGTCACGCGTGATGTAAAGTAAGGCGTTGTAAGTGTAACTATGGTTCCGTGCGCTAATCCCTAAACCCTCAACCCACTATGGTTCCGTGCAGAGCCATGGAACTCATCGAACCCCAAACTTGCTGGCTCAGGCACGCTTGAGCCTCGACACCAAAGCTTCCGCCATGGAGTCCAGCAGGGAGGGCTTCAGCAGAAGCTTCGTCACAGCCTTAGTAGGGAGGGGATTTAGGGGTTTAGAGTTTAGAGAGTTTACGCTCTCACAGCTCGGACAAGCCAGGCGAGGTTCCACAGGGTTAAGTCGGCGTGACACTGGTACAAGAGCCCCTGACCACGACTATTCAAACCATGCAAATTGCAGCAAACCAATCCACCAGAACCTCAACCCAAAACAGTGAAGAAAGATGAAGAAAGCTTTCGTGGTCCGGAGCTACTCACATGACCACAGGTGTTCATTCTCGATCTAAGTCCAGTCTACGTCTGAGCCCTCGAGGGAACAGCAGAGAGGGTTTAGGGCCAGTTTAGGGTCCTTCCAATCAAAGGATGTTGCATCCATTCAGCAACCCCTGCACTACCACAGGCATGCGTCATGGCCACAAAACGACAACGGCAAGGCTCGCTGCTGCCTGCTGCCCTTAATAACTAGAAGGGGTTTTGGAGTTCTTGTACTAGACTTAAATATTAAGTATTAGGGACCCTAAGAAAATCCTACAGTAACGATTTGTATTCTTTATTCAAGCTTCCATAGTATAGGCACTCCATGGTTCAAGAAGCCCGAACGATCGAACCCCCAAACTCTCAAAGGCTGTGCTGAAGTCGCAGCTACTGGGGGTCCGGGCAAACTCGCTGGCCAGGAGCAAACGAATGGCCTGTTCCACAACACGGAACGACATATAAAGGCAGTAAGGGTTTAGGGTTTAGGGTCCCTAAACCCTAAACCCTAACGAATTTTCCGACCGATTGCAGCGGAGGGCTTTCGTTTTGAGAGGTGCTTTCGGTGCATCGAATGCCCAGAAGGTTTGATGTTTGGAGTTGCAATCGGGAAACCGCAGCGTGGATAAGTCGACGCACCATAAGAGCTTGGAGATTCTCGGGTTGTGAATACAGGGGCATGTAGGAGCCTGAAAAATAGAACAGGGTCTTGGGGTATATTAATTACGGTATATTATGCTACAAGTATTAAATATTAAATAGTACTGAATCGCAATTTCTTGGAAATGATTTTTAAGTTTTCTGCACTAGATCGGACCCTAAACCCCTAAACTTATAAACCCTAAAGCCTCCAACCCTGGCGCCTCAGGGCCCTCCACCACAAAGAAGGCGCCCTCCCGGGACAGCTGTGGTCCGGGCTCCTTCAAGTTCCGGAAGTCATCCTGTTTCGGACTGTAGGGCGTCGTAGGTTTAATATAGAAGCCTATAACTATACTAAGGGAGCCCCCAATCCTATTCTCATTGTTAAGGGCCCTACGTTAGCGTTTGGGGGGCCTACGGTTTAGGGCTTCCTGGCTTGAGAGCTTGGGTTCTGGTGCTTTTTTGCTTGGGTGGTGCTTTCGGGTGACTTGGTGTTCAAGGGGTTTGCAGGGTTGAAATGCGTTCTATTCCGACTTCTTGCGTTTGACATATGAATACCTTTGCATCTTCTGCCTTAGGTTTCAGAAGCCTTCTTCCTGATGTTGTTGTTGTTGTTGCTGCTGCTGCTGCAACGATTGGCCCCCACCAACAGGACGACGAAGACTGAGACAACAACGCGACAGCGTACACGCAGTGGACACAAAGCCATTTAGCTTCCTCTGTCCTTTCAGCTGTTCAATTTCAAACCTTGGGAACCTCTCTTCCGCTGGCGCTATGAGAACAGCAGCTTTGAAGCCAAGTGGCAGCAAGAGGATCGGTGACATCCTTCCAGGCTACCGGACAAGCTGTGAGCTTTCTCTGCAAACATACAGCACATGCTCAACAGATCGTCATGAGCATCGTATGTCGAGGACTGCCCAAACATCAAGCTGAAGGCGCTATTGAATGGGAAGACAACACTTGCAGGAGAGCTAGAAACGGAACAGGAAGGGGAACATGTTTGTTGACACAGCTGCAATAGTCGCCTCAGCTGCAACTCAAGACTTCAGCAGCTTGTGACAGAGGTAGATAAGACCTGATAGGATATTCGTGAGAAACATTAGCAGTCTCTGCATGCAGTCCTGGATCCAATGCACATTCTCCGAGAACGCCAGCAGCAAATTGCCGGGCACAGCGGCGGCATATCCTGCGTGTACATATGCAGAGCTACGAGGCTCATACTGCAAATGCACGAACAGCCTAGGAGCAGGGAAGTCGGCATCAACATGCAGTGCAAAATCGATGTTGTGGCTGCCTGCTCCTTGCGGAAGCCTCTCACAGGCCTGCATGGCCCCTGTGGGTCCCTTGATTCTTTCCCTTCCTTCGTCAAGGGATGGAGACCTGTGAGCTGGCAGAGGATGTAGTCGGGATGCGTCGATCTCTCCGGAACGGGAAGAAAGGAGCACCAAGCCCGAGTGGCGCGCAAGCTTTCAGCAACCAGATTTTGAGAAACACGCCGACTCCACTCGAGGTCAAGGGGCCTTGCTCCGAGATCATCGAACATGTACCTTGAGCACACGCCGCCTCCGGGTGGAGTTCGATCGTAGACCGTCCGTCTTTGAAGAGGATTTCAACCAAGCCGCGGAGCTCTCTTCGCGATGATCAAGTTCTTCGTGGAAATGAGCCTGTCGATGCTGTGGAGCATGTCGGCACCAAACCTCGCAGAAAGAGCCCCACACATCACTGGATAGTGCTCGTCGCGCTCCAAGTGCGATGAGCCCCCTGGGAAATATTTCTGCTTGCGCATGCAGCAGGGTACCACGGCCCAGGAGGTGCCGAAATGTGTGGCCAAATCCAGCACATCCAAAGTGGCCTGGTTGCCTGGGTTCTGTTACCTTTATCCCCTACAATCTGTGATCCCACGAAAGTCATTAGCGTAGCTCTCCCCAGTTCTACAAGCTCATTCAACTCCAGGCACTTTTGAAAGCCTTCCAACTTCAACACACCAGATTACACCAGATTCCAGACCCAGTTGCAGGCATGCACTGCGACCACGAGCGTAGACGGAGCCGGAGAGAGGGAACCTGCAGGGCCTCCCAGCCATGCCGACCCCTCCTGGTGTAGATCCCCCAGTCGAAACCTCGGCATCGAAGAGGTAAGTGCTCTAATCATAGGCTTTGATGGACGTTGGACATAGGGCGGGGTTTAGCTTGTAGGAGGCTTAGCATAGAGCTTAGTTGCAATGGCTGTAAGCTCGCCTAAACGATCATATGCTGGCAGCGGCAGCAGCTTCAGCAACAGCAGCAGGGGTAGGAGTAGGAGCAGGAGCAGGAGTAGGAGCAGCAGTTGTAGTAATGGTTGTAGTTGGGGTAGCAGCAGCAGCACCAGGTGTTGTTGTTATAGCAGTAGCAGCAGCGGCAGTAGCAGCAGCAGTAGTTGTCGTATTCGTTGGTCGTAGTCGTTTGTCGTAGTCGCAGTCGTAGCAGTAACAGTAGTAGCAGTCCTTGCAGCAGCAGAGTTGGTAGTGGTAGTGGTCGTACTAGTAGTAGCAGTAGTAATAGTAGTCGTCGTCACGACGCTTCAACTACTCATGGTGAGGGTAGTAGTGATATGCAGGTCCATGATAACCACGAGAATCTTGGAACTAACTATGCTTTCACTTTCCTATAGGCACAACACCCTCGACAAAACCGACTGGCTGCCTGCAGCGAAGCGTCTCGAATTTGTCCAAGCGCCGGCCAAGCTGCGCCCAGGTAGAAAGCGCAACTGGCATCAGCTTTCGCTCCTTCTGCAGAGGGCTGAAGCTTCCAGACCCTATAGGCCCTAAGGGCCAAAGCCTTCAGGGCCTACAGTCTCAGCATCAATTGAGACTCTCTTCGACAGCCCAGGGCCCCAGGACACGCAGAAAGTAGGAGTGCGACTTCAGTCGCAAAGGCGCTGTGACTTAGGGAATCAAGTCCCCGTTTTTCTGTGATTGGAAACTGTGTCTCTCTTTCCTCCTGTTATGCGTGGATCCGCTCACGATCAGCGCCAAACACTACCCAAATCCCCGCATCCCGGCTTCCTCGCTGTGCCTCCTATATGGGATATGTGGCAGGGTCTCCGTTTGGCTGAATCGCTTTGGAAGGCGTTCAAGCTGCTTCAGGTCAAGGCGGCGTGCTTTCCCACTGGAGCTGCCCACTCTCCGGTTTCCCCTTTGGTGCTGATCCCCAGTGTTGACGTCCCACGAGGTTGTTCCACGAGTTTTACAGCTCAGGCTCGGATGCTCGTCCCGAAGATGAGATACGGGCTTTCAGCATCCGGCCAGCTGTCCCGTCCCTCTCTCTGTCTCGCTCCTGTTGCTTGTTTGCTGCTAGGGCATAAGGGGCGTCTGAAACCCCTCGGGGCTTGTGGAAGGGACTGTGACACTAATTACACGTGCCTCTCTCTCTCTCTCTCTCTCATTTCTGTGTGTAAACATATCTATCCATCCAGCGGTCGACCGATCTATCGATCTATCTCTCCGGCTCCATACCCATATATACGTATATGCATATATGCATACATGCATATATGCACACATACATACATACATACATACATACATACATACATACATATAACATATGTATACATATAGGCCGCGAGATTCGACGATGGGTGAATCCCTTTGAAAGTTTGAGGGTCAGGGTGTATATATATATATATACACGCACACACAGAATCACACAGACAAAAGAGGTCAAGCCTCCCTGTCCACAGCGCAGACAGCGGAGTCGGGGAAGCAGTGCGACAGCAGCATTCCTCGTGTTCCCACAGATTCGATGCATATTGGATCCCTCGACACGAGAACCCAACACTTCTGTCGGCAGTAATTACTGCGAGACAAGCGTCCCACCAAGCCATGGCCGCAGGCTGCGTCGATTATTCCTGAGTTCTATAATGGTTACTTGAAAAAGACTATTGTAGGGGTTAGTATAGGGCCCTCATGCAATGCTTCCAATACGGATTTCGGGCATATGCACTATGACTATAAGTACAATAAGGATCCTGAAAGTCCGTGTCTGTCTTTAGCCTTCTAGCCAAGGATTCTGCAAAGGTTCGATACCACCAAATCCCAAAACCCTATAACTCTCTCTTATTTTTGCTGAGCCTGGTCCTGGAATGTTTCATATCCACTTGCGCAAACACATCTCTCTCTGAGCATCGGACCGAGCGCAAAATTCAGCTATTTTTTTTTAAGTATTGAGCACTAACTACCCTAAACCCTAAACCCAAACCCTGAAGGAAAGTAATCTGCAAACTTCCGGCAGTGGAAACAAGATCCTCGCTGGCCTACACCATTTCGGTGGAGCCGCGCTCCGGCTGCCGTCTGCCCACCCTCCGTCCATCACGGCGGTCCCGACGCAGCCACCACTGAACGATGGCCGACACGACGTCACCTTCCACGACTTGCCGACTCTAAACCCTCCCTAAACCCTAAACCCTAAACCGTGCTCAACACTCAGGGTCTACCCAAGATGCAAGACCGTTCACCTGCGTTGCGTGCAGGGAGTCGGTCTGCAAGTGATGAGGCCATGTCAGCAGCGGCACTACCTACCATTATATCATATATGATGTTACAATATAGTATCATATAAGATATCACTATATGACATAAGATATTGCGTGCTATATTACATTAAATTCTCATATGTTAGGTTCATTGTGTTCCTTCAGTCCAGGCGCAGCTTTCGAAGAGCTCCTTCACCCGCAGCTTTTGCCTCCCAGGCACTGCATCCATGGCTGCGAAGATCGCCTCGAGAAGCGGACCCGGGAAGCTTCGGGCTCACAGCGGGGTTTCGGGTTTAGGGTTCGGGGTTTAGGGTTTAGGGTTCGGGGGTTTCAGCACTCACACTCTACAGCCGGGGGGGGGTTTAGGGTTTAGGTAGGGCCCCACCAAAAACTTCAGGGAAAGCTTGAGGTTACGTAGGACGTAGGCAGTAAGGGGCTTTATGGAATTAGAGTGTGAAAGTGTGCATGTGCTTAACATTATGTATGTGTGGATGTATGTATGTTTGTCGATATGTGTGTGTGTGGGCGCGGTGTGTATGTGTGTATGCTATCATTCATGTAGATGTAAACTTTGTTTATTCATTCCCTGTGCGAGTGCGTGCATGGCGTGGCATCCGGATCCTGAGGTTAACAGGCGAACACATCATGCACACACAGCCATGGGCGCTAAACCCCAAAACGTTATCTGATGAGATAGAGGCAGAAGGGCCAACAGCCCTGAAATAAGGAGATGGGCAATCGGTCCTGCTTTGCCCTAGTTGTACATTCAGCTGACATGTGTGAGTCTAGGTGTTATCCAGGCCATTGCTGGCTGTCCCGAACTTTCTACATTGAAAGCCCAAATTCCAGAATGCCCTAGGTCCCAGCCGAAACTGTGGACCCTAAGCCAAGGTTGTTTAGCCCAGCCGCAGCCAAAGACGGTTCGTGCGGGTTGAGCTGGCCTGGAGAGAGCTAGCTACCGAAGTCTAGCATGCTGGACGAAGGTTTGGGCTTCCTAGGGTTGCGACTCGGACAACCCAAGCGTCTTGAGTCGGCTTGGTGGAACTACAAATTTAACGGACAGCCCACACAACTCACAACAATCACGCGGCACTTGCACGGTACACCCTAACTAGGCCAAATGCCCTTCCTGTGCGACAAAGTCCTGTGCTGTTTACCCCCTTTTCCTGGTTCAGGAGCACAACTACTCGCTCATGGGTCGGGAGGCAAGTTTTACGGTTCAGGGGTTCCGAGACAGCCCCGAGTAAGAAGCGCTTTCGCCGGACGGGAGGGGATTCTGTGCTAGGCCTTTAGGCTGCTAGGCACATTACCCTTATGGCAAGAGTTGTCATGAAGTTTGCTGGGGGTCAGTGGGCTACCTGAGAAACGAAAACTAATTAGGGTCCAAACCACCAAATGCCAAGCCTCACTCACCACAGGCAGAAAGCTCTCCGAAATGATCTTCTCCGAGGTTGAGCGCTGAGGCTGCAACATATTTTAAGGTTGAACCTGTAAGTTCTTCAAGGAGGCTTCAGAAAGCCTCGTGCATGCCAATTGCGATGTCAAGAAGCGCAGATACGCCCAGACTCGCAGACGGTGTTCCGGGCACAAATCACCCACACAGACCTGCAAGGTCAGCAAACTAGCGACGCAAGGATAAACATGCAGCAAAAAAGTTGGGAAGAAGTCTTTATA